CAACATCATCATCTATACCACCATCATCAACAACATCATCAGCTTCAACGCATTCATCATTATTGAGATCATCTTGGCTATCATCATTATCAACACCTTCATCATCATCACTACTCCTATCATCATCCACATGATCACAGCTGCCATTATCATCATCATCATCATCATTATTTTTAGCACCTGCTGTCATGCTTGTAGAACTCTGAGTTGTTAAATTATTACCATCTTTAGTTGACTGTTCGTGATCAACAGTCTCTCTTTCTGAAGCAAGAGAAGACTGGCTTGCCTTCATGGACCGTCTTTCTCTTGTACTGCCTATTGTAGTGTTATTATGCTTGCCTCTACTTGATGATCTGGTGGATCTTGTTGACATTGTGCTACAATCAAGGGTTGTCTTGTCTGGAAGCTCTATGTTGTTTCTTGTAGATGTAAGGGCTTTCATTGAGATGTCAAGAGTATTTTCATCATGAATCTCATCAAGGGTTTCGACATTTGATGTTTTCCCTCTCACAGATTGTCTGCTTTTCTTTGATGTATTGAGACTTTGCCCCAAGTCTTCTGTTAAATGCTCAACATCKTGATCACTGGCTTTTGATGTGTCTGTGTCAATGGCTTGTGAAAAGCGAATGGATTTCCTGTTAGATGTCTGTGTTAATGACCTGGCTGAGCTGTCTTCATTCTGATTGGATGATTGATGATCAGATTCCGAGGACACCATGGTTGATGTGTTTGAAGTTGCCCGTTTTAAAATTGACTTTCTTGAAACTTTAGTCTTTGGAGCTGCTTGATGGCTGTCAATATGTTCAGCAGTCAAGTCTCCTTTCTTGCCTCTGGTTGACTTTCTTGTTGGCTCTTCTTTGGTGTCATTCTCTTCAGAATCCTGTTCAATTTGTGAATTTTGACGATTTTGGTGCTTTGGAGCTGCTTGATGGCTGTCAATATGTTCAGCAGTCAAGTCTCCTTTCTTGCCTCTGGTTGACTTTCTTGTTGGCTCTCCTTTGGTGTCATTTTCTTCAGAATCCTGCTCAATTTGTGAATTTTTCTTGGCAGAGCACCTTGTAGATCTTCTGCTTTTGGAGACRTCATGAGAACTCTGGTCTTTTGTTGAATCTATAAAGGTGTTATCAACTTTCTTCACAGTA